TCCAGGGATGGTCGTGTAATGATAACTTAAATGAAAAATCAAATAAAAACTCATATATCCGTAGTCAACTTTTACAAATAATTGAGATGGAACTAGAAAATATTCTATTTTACAAAATACAAAGAATTAATGACTGTGATGAGTGTAAAAAGGCAATCAATGAAATAAACAAATTTGAAAAGTATTTAGAAGAAGAGAATAATCCAAAGCTTTCCATGGATTGCAAGCAAACAATCGGCAATTATATTGAACTTAATCGTCGATCAGCATCATCAAAGCTTGTGCATATAGTAGAAGCTGGCTTTCTTCAAAAAGGTTATTCATCACAATTTTTAAACACTATTAATAAAGCCTTAGAAATACATCAAATAGAAAACTTTCTGATGATGAAATTGAGCAAAAAATTACAGAGACTTGGAATTTGTTGCGAAATAATACATTATCAGCGTACCCAGTCAAATCAGTAGAGAATTTAATATATCTCGAGGTTGAATCTATATACTCAAGTTGGTGGAATTCGACAATTGAAAGTGAATACAAAAATGGAACACTTCCAGATTTACATGAAGTCGGTCGTTTAACAAAACGAGTTTTACAAAAACAAGATATTGATACTATCGAAGAAAGGCTTGATAATTTGACAGATTTAATTTTAAAGGGAAAATCTCAACATTTTTATAATGGGATAGTGAGCGATCTCAAAAATAAAATAGAAAAAACGCTCTCTGATTTTACAATAACCAAACCTTTTCTCATTTTTAAACGTAATGCTCACATTTATGCCTTATTGAAATTTAAACAAAGATTATCAGAATATCAGAAAAAATGGGATGAAGAAAATCATCCACTTAATATACTTGAGCAAAAAAAAGAAGAATACTTTAATGTTATTAGAGTTCGACTTCAACATGAATCTACACTTGTTTCCGAAGCATATATTGTTGCAAACTATTTATTAAGAGTTATTCATAAAAAAGCAATGAAAGCAGGGAATCACGCACTAAAAGATGCAGTGAATAAGATTCCATGGATGACTAGTACAGAAACAGTTAGATTACAATATTTTGAAGAGCTTGCTATTGAGGTTCAAAATGGCAATAAAGAAAATGCTTTAAATCATTTCAAAAACCCGAAATATCATATTGAAAACTGGTTTAAATCCACTGTTGATAACACAGTAAAAGGAAATCCAGTGCAGAAATACAATGATACTTATAGTAAAGAAATAAAACGTGTCTGTAATGATATTTGTAACTGTAAAGATTATAAAGAAATTGAATTATTTGTAAATAATTATATGACACAGGTTGACAAAATAGACTACAAATGTAATCTTGAAGATTCTATAAAACTTGAAAATTTCAAAACTTTTAGTGGCATTATTATAAAAGAGATTAAAAACAAAATAAAGGAGATTAGTGACAATATAGATAATTGTTATTCAAACCAAAAAAATAAAGAACCGTTTCAAAGGCTATCTGAAGATAAATCTATTATGAAAATGCTTGGATGCACTGAAAGTTGCTACTGGTGTGGTGCTTTATGTTGGGGATCTTTAGGTCATCACGAAAATAGTGATGATTCGAAAATACACCACGCCAGTCATCAGCCACGTGGTTTTAGAGGAACAAAGGACCAAGAAACAAGAGAGCTTATACCAATAGCATGCCATCAAAGAAAAGATTTGATAAAATGTGATGTTTGGTATTATGGTAAAAAAGAACCGACAAAATGGAAAATTGCAAAAAAAGAATTTTCAAATTGGAAATTTAAACCCCACTATAACGATAAGAAATTGTTTAATGATCTCATGTGCTGGTTCTTTGAAAAGTTGAATGAAGATCTGGCAAATTACTATGTATGTGAGCCGGCATCTCGTGACAGTTTAAACCGAAATGGTTGTTTAAATTTGAATTACGATGATATTATAAGTGAACTTAGAGAGAAACTTTACTCAACTCTCAATCCAACTGAATACGACACTTTACGTGCACTAAAAAATAGAATTCAAAGCTTTTTAGTTTCAGTTTTCAGAAAAAGATTGGATTATTGAGCCAATTGAAATTTATATCAAAACTATATATTATGTTGTTATTATGACTTTAAAAGTATTTCCATTATCATGAATTTTTCGTTATTATGAATTGTATATTTATTTATCATTGAAATCATTATTACTGTCCAGAGTGTTGTGGAGGACTCTAAATTTTCATTTAATAGTCGCAACTCTAGCTGATTAGTGATATATACAAGTGGTTTTTCAATTATCGCCATAAAGCGTATACTTAAAAATCTTTTTCTTGTATAAAATTTTTGTTAATGTAAACATAGTAAAAATAAAGTACAATCTAAATGTCAATACAATCGCTGAGTATTAAAATTTTTGTTATTAATGTAAATAATTTTGTTTTCATGTTTTAAAAATGCTTCACTGATTGCTTCTTTTACTTCTTCTATATATTTTCCACGCTCAATAAATTTATATATTTCTTTGATATTTTTGAAACGTACAGCAAAATCTTTTGTGACACTGCACCCCAATAACTTTGAATTATTGTATACCATTCATTAAATTTAAATTTTCTTTGTAAATTTTTGCAATCGTCAAGTATAGAATTATATAAATCAACAACGTCTTCATGATATTGTTCCGATGGTGGCGCATGTACAGTAGACCCATTTTTAAATGGCCGAAATTGTTTAAGGAACTTGCCGTCTTTTATTCTTTTATTAAGAATTTTAAGACACACTGCATTAAATATTCCCATCTCCATATCTTGTTCCACAGTTATTCTCAAAGCTTCCTGTAGAGCTGTACGAAAATTTTCTTCTGGTTCGGATAATTTGGCTTTATTACGTTCTGAAATATGTTGTACCATTTTAATGTCAGGTGCAATCTCAGCTTTTTCAAGACGTGCCATTGTAACTATTGCGATTTGTAACATCTCTGTCAAGTCTCTCATTGATTCTCCGAGTACATTTATAATTGTTAAATTACTTATACCCATCGCAAACGTTACTAATATCCTATCATTCTTTTCTGATTCTGTTTTTTCAAGTGAGCCAAGACCTTCGGTATCAATCACGATAAATGCATCTACACCGAGTTGATTGCATAAATCTTCTAAGAATAGTAATCTCATGAAAAGACCCTTGGTACAACGTCCTACTGAAACAGAAAATCTGCATCCAAAAAGTGCATTTAAGAGGGTTGACTTGCCAGATGATTGTAATCCAATTATGCTAATCACATAAACCCGAAGATTATTGAACCTTTTATAAACATGATTACAAATAGCTGAAAACCAAGCTTCTGGTATGGTACCTGCATCACCATTTAACAATTCTATAGTGTGACCGCCAATCAATAACTCTGCATAAAGTTCAGGTAGTTTCAAAAAATTTATGTCATTTAAATCGCTAATTCTAATTTTATATAATTGTCCTAATACACGATAAAAGTGTTCTAAACCTAAACTTTTATTATCCACTTCTTCCCAAAGGTTTCTAATTTCATTTTGAATCATTTCACTTTCCTTATCCTTATCAACCAAACCAGACTGAGATAATTCTATTCTTTTTGATATAGCTTTATTTCGAGATTTAGAAGACTCTTCTATAGAAATTTTGGATATTTCTCTTTCAATATGTGCCAGAGCTCTTCTTCTTTTATCAAGAGGTAATGTAAGTATGTTGGTATATAATTTTACTAATTCATTTAATTCATCACTATTTTGCCAAGTATACGAATGATTCTCATTTGTTTTTTGAAGTTGCATAATATTCAGTTTAGTATATTGACAAGTTTTTGTCTTAACGAAATTTATCAACTCTTGTGATTCAGGATATTCTATTCCTTCAACCATTTTAAGCGACTTTCCTAATTCCAATTCACCGAATATAACTAAACACTGAACTTGAATGTTTAGTTTTTCATTTAAAAGCCAATCCCAAAATAAATGCCTAGTTAGTGAGTATAAAAAAACTTATTAATAGATCTATTTAAAATAAGCATGCAAAAGTTTATAAATAGTAATTAAAAATTTACCAATCAGAAAGATATGCAGGTGGTGTATTCTGATTATTTTCAAGTTTCTTAATGAACCAATTGGCAAATTCTATGTATGCTTCATGACAGGCTAAATATTGTTTTGCAGCAAGTAATTCATATCTCCAATGACCCCGAATTGGCAATTGATATTGGAATAAATGATATCCTAATAATCCATCATATAGTTTTTGAATCCAATCTGACTTCATATTGAGAAGTTTTCCTTTATTGCTCGAATTATATCCGTCGTGAAGGTACCAAGCCAAATATAGGAGATTATATGGTTGTGGTGTTCGTAAGAATCCAATCGAGAAAGGTAACTTGCCAAATGCCTCTTCGAAATTTGAAAAAACAATATGCATTATATGTATTCCACAACCGATTCTTACTGTATCTACATTTGCCTTATTATTAAACTGAACGATCGCGCCTTTTTTATTGCCTGACATATAGACTGTGTTATCTGTTACCTATGTTGAACATTTTTTCAGATCAAGCCCGTGGATCGTAATTGCTTTGAGAGTGCTGTCTGCTACTGATTGACCAGTACAGTTATGTAAATCCTCAAGATTAGTCACAATTACTGATAAAATGTTTTTTTTATGATCCCAGAATATTATACATACAACAAAATATTTACTTTCTTCGCAAGTTGATTCATCCACAAGGATTCCATACCGTGAATATTGTGAAGCCTTATATATTCTGGCTTCAGTTTCAATTTGTGAGACTTCTTTATGCCAGATACTTAGGGTCATTGCAAATAACCATCTTTGTGGGGGTTCTCCGATTAAGAATTCGTAGACTAGTCACAATGATTCAACAGTCGCGGTTAAAGAAGTTTGGCCAATTTGCGATATCTTTGTTGAAAGCCAAACCATTTTTGGTGAATATTCTCGATTATTTGTTTTAAATAATATGCTAATTTGGCATTTGAATTCTTCATTAGATATCTGCTTTTGTTTGCGTATTAATGATCTGATAGTTGAAATTCACTTTTCTACTTTATTTCTGAGATACCGATTTGAACTACTTACGAACTAAATTTTATATAATAGATTTTGATTATTCCTTAATAGTTTTCAGTTTTCTGATTTTAGGTTCGCATTCTTAGCTTTTAAAACAACTGGATTTTTACGACTATCCGTAATATATTCAAGGGCTTTATTTTGGAGATAGACCGAAATAATTTCATTTTTATGCTTTCTTTTTGGATTTCGCATTGATTCAATTAGATTTAACATATTTTTCTTTTGTAATTCTGGCATTTCACGAATATTATTAAAGATTTCCTCTTCTCGTGAATGATTAAGTGTATTAGTATAATTTTGCAGATATTTGGATGAGATTCAAGATCAATTTGAGGTATCAGATTATAAATTTGTCAGATTTCATTACTTTGAGATGTCATGTACTTCATA